TCTTTCGCTGAGGAGTAGCGAGAGCAGTTGGATAAAGAATGCACTCGGGGAAGTTGGGATAGGGCTAGAGGAATAGGGCCCCCTCCCTGTTCCATTTCCGCACATAAACTTAATTTATCGCGAAGGCGGTCCGTGCGGAGAATGGCCTTACATTCGAATCGTCGAGTAGGTGGCAACCAGACAGGGGCAGAGTCGAAGACTGCAGAAGAAGTATTTACCATCCCCAATTGTAAATTGGGGTTATCCCCAATTGCAAATTGGGGTTTTAGCCAGCACAATCCCGCAAAAAAGCAATAAAGAAATCTTGTCCGAAATTTCGATACTTAAATCAAGTGAAAAAGTGATCGGAATCGACAGATAGAGGTAGCGGTTGATGGGAGGAGGCGCTTGTGCCCAAGGCTGGTGTAGCCAATGGTCGAACAGTCCTTGGGTGTGCCCCGCTTTTCAGGCCTATTCGGAGAGCTCGACGAAGTCGGATTTTCTCGAGAATAATGTTTTAGGAAGAAATACTGCGCTGTCAGGGCTCGAGAGAATATCGGAGGGTGTCCGAGAGGGCAGTAAGATCCGGAAAAAAAAACGAAAAAGTTAAATCGTTAAAAAAAAAAAAAACGAAATTGAAGGAAGAGTTAAAACGTTCGTAGAACTTGAAACCAACGCCTTTCTCTGTCGTTTCTTGAGCGGAACGTCTACATGCAGAGTTGGTACAACCGCTGCGGTAGCGTTGTAGGGCGACACGCTCTCGAGCACAAGCCTGCGCACCGAGCCGCAGTGTGGTGTGGTTGTTTTTGTTGTTAGGGACAAAGGACGACGGTGCCGTCTTGATGGTCAGCCGTAGTTGCGCGTGGATGCTTTTGTGGTAGCTTGTGGTCCAGGGTGTGGATATCCATCTGGAATAGGTCTTCCATGGCACTGTACAAGTACGCACGCGAGTCTTCCTAGGGCTTCTCGGTTGAAGCTTTTCGGATTAATTGTTTTTGAGGACATAACCCAGGCGTTTTTGCCCCATGGTTGTCACCACCCCAGCGAGATATTGGCTCTCAAGTGTCATTAGATGCTGTCTTGTCAATGAGGTACAGCAGTGGCAGTGTTGGATGTTGTTGTTCCAGTCGTCGTTGCTGTTCGTGTTGCCGCTGCTTGCTGCTGTTGGTGGTGGTGTTTTCAGGTGGTCGAAGCCGGTTGTCCAGAACAAGATGGAAAGAGGGCTCGTGCCCAAGGTTTCTGCCGAGCAGGCTCAGGAAAACTTCCGGCTAGCCATCGAATCAGGTAAACCCTCCCCCCTCAAAAACCGTCGCAAGTGATGCAAACGCAATGACACAGATACGATGGTACCCTTGAAGAACGCCGTTGCTGAGACAGTTTGTTTTTCTTCTTGACCAGGAAAGCCGGCCTGTACGAGCACCCTGAGATAGGGTTGACGCTGTACATGTTGTTGGTTTTCGTGGCCTGCGAGTCGGAGTGTTGGATGTTCTCCGACCCTCGCTACGTTTACAACAACACATGCTTTTCCTCAGCCTCATCGTGATATACTTCCATATTGTCGTCGCGACACTCGAGTAACCACGGACACACACTTGCCTCTTTGCGCCTCATGACGACCGACGCTCAGAACCCATAATTTGCTCCAGCTCTTTTAAGCAGAGGTAGCGCGATATCTACATGTATCCTTAATCTGCAGTAGCGAAATACACACTCGAAGTCTCTGTTGGCCTTGTGACAACCGACTCGCAGGCGTCCTGAAGATCATGTCCAAGATGGGCATCTCCCTCCTCACCTCCTACCAGGGGGCGCAGATCTTCGAGGCGATCGGGATCGGGGGGGGGCTGCTGAACCTCGGCTTTAAGGGGACGCCCTCCCGCCTGGGTGGGCTGGAGACGCACGATCTCGCATGCGAGACGGCCTCGTTCATGGTAAGTTTGCTGACAAATGGGGGGGGGGGCACGACAATTTTTGTCAATGAGTCGCCAACCTACGTAGAAACAATGTGTCCATAGCAAGGTAGTCATTAATTGCCAAATGCAGAGTGTTGGGCCGGGTAGAGCGCAGGTTTGGACGAGTTAAAAAACCAATCAACAATGATCATTTATGACACAAAAGTATTTCCTGGACTAGGCGTTGATTTCGAGCACCCGTTCTCATGAGACTGTGGCATGTACTGTACAGCAGTATCATCGCCAACGACGAGAAAAAGCATTGATATAAAAGCAAACTCAACCCTTGTGTTCGCTTACGGTGTTTCCCGCGCGCGACCCCTCTTTTTTTGTAGGAGAAAGCGTTCGGAGACGAGGGCCTCAAGAAGCTGGCCAACTACGGGTACGTGCAGTTCTTCCGGAGCGGAGAGTACCACCACAACTCCCCCATCCTGATGAAGACGCTGCACAAGGTGGGGCCGGGCCGCGATGAATGTTGCTGTTTCGCGAGACTGTTGGGTTTTGGTTTTTGTTGATGGTGGCCCCTGTTGGCGTCGCCTCGCCAAGCGGCTTGAACTTGCTGGCGAAAAGATCATGGCGTCTGTGGTCTCGGTTAACCGGATAATTGCACAGGAGGTTGGATGGCTAACCGCGTTTGGGTACTTGTACACGTGCGAGATGTACCGTCCCGTCGACCAACGTATTTTTCTTTGGACTCTTGTCCTAGTAAGATGCTAAACAGAGGAGAAGAAGACAGGCAACCCCTTGTCGGACGGCCCATCACCGCACTCCACTCCTGGTTGACCGGGGTCTGTCTCGTTCGTCCATCAGACTTTTTCACGCGCACAAACCCATTTTTTCGAACCGCTTCAGCCCCTGACCGTAGGTCTTCAGGAAGGAGGGAGGACTTTTCCTCGACCGTATGCATACGACCTGAGATCGTCCTACAAACTACGCCCAACATTACGTTCATTTTGCGTCGCCCCCTTCTGTAGGCTATTAGGGCGGGCTCCATGTACGACCTGTACATGCAGACCCTCCAAAAACCGCCCGGCGACCACTTTTGAGCCCCCCCAACTCACCAATTCATTCCTCGTCGTCCCCTTCCACAGGCTATCAGGGCGGAGGACTACTCCATGTACGATCTGTACATGCAGGCCCTCCGAAGCCGCCCGGTTACCACTTTGAGGGACCTGCTGGACTTCAACGGCCCCGGACGTCGCGAAGCCATCCCCGTGGAGGAGGTTGAACCGGCGGAGGACATCATGCGACGGTGAGAGAACCTGGGCATCTTCTCCTGCTGTGATTCCCCCCCCCCCCCCCCCAAGCCCCCCACTCGGTGTTTGCCAATGGAGTTGGGTTTGCGTCGCTTGGCAACGACGTTGTAAAACAAGCCAATTCACTTCGTGAACTCGGCAACCTGTTTACCGTTTTTTTTTTACCTCGTTTTTTTTTTGGCGGTATCCATAATGGTGGTCGAGTAGATCATGTTGTGCGGGGTCGAGAACCCTCACTCCGCGCAACGGGGGATGATCGCACCACGTTGTGTTTAAATGGTCAAGCTTCCTCGAGGCAGTTACACAGTGCTTATAACTGTCTCTGGAAATGAAAGCACCAGAAAGTAAATTAAGTCATACGTAGCTGTCACCCGTACGCAAGGAAGTAAGCACAAGATGCCGAACACCCTTAGCAGGATGCAGCTCACCCTTCATGCGACTCGCCAAATACCTCACGGCGCTTCGCGCTTGGTGATGTGAGAGCCCTGGTCCGGTGAGAACCCGGCGTGCTCCGTCCCGGCTTGGTAGGGATGCGAGGTCAATGGTCAAACGACTACGGCATGCACGACTATGAGTACCCCCCCCCCCCCCCCCCCCAGTGAATGTGAGAGCTTGGTCCGGTGAGAACCCGGCGTGCTCCGTCCCGGCTTTGTAGGGATGCGAGGTCGATGGTCTAACGACTACGGCATGCAAGACTATGAGTAAACTCCTATCCTTTCTTTGTTTTTCTTTTTCTCGGAAAAAAGGCTGTACGTTATCGCATGTGCTCAATCAACACTTTGCTCCGAATACGATATGTTGAGCCGTGTTTATCGTCGGGCAAGGCAAAGGTTCTGTCCTAAGAATTGATACATGCCAGCCCCACCCCCCTGTCTCGCTACGGTTGGCACATTGTTGGGCACGTATGAACGCATGCACACGCAAGTTTTTGTGTTGAACGAGAACTTGACCTCTTTCTAGTCCGTCTCAGCTCTATGTTTCGGGTGCGATTTAGTCTCGAGACTGACGCGCGATCACGCAGGATATGAGTTAAATGTATGCATTCATGGTACATCCCCCAAACCTCCCCCCGCCCGACACATGCACTCCCCTGCCCTGCCGTATGTTCCTGTTGGTTCTTATTAAACGTTTCATGAAACAGGTTCTGCACCGGCGGCATGTCCCTGGGTGCCTTGTCGCGGGAGGCCCATGAGACGCTAGCGGTGGCGCTCAACCGCATCGGGGGCAAGTCCAACTCGGGCGAGGTAAGACAACTGTGCTTTTTCCGTGTGCTTCCGTTAATGCGTGTGTATGTTTCAAGAGGAACAGAGGCATCGACCGCGCTTGCCGGTGGGCCAATGAAACGACGCCACCATGTTTTGTAATATTGTTTCTATTCATGTGGTGTTCGCATCGTCATCTGTGTTCACACGCGGCCTGACCTGTGTTGATGACTAAATAGGGTATCTCGCCACCTTTTGCTATGATGGTTTCATGGTTTCGGTTTCGGTGGGGCCTTCATGTTTGGTTTGTCCTGACAAGAGCTCTTCTCTTAGAAGGTGCTATTGTAATGACAACAACAATTGATTTTTATATTTGGAGACAACCAACAGCAACAAATATATATTTTTTTTTTTGCATGTGTGGAGCAATTGGCTTTTAATGTGGAGACTCACAACAACAACAACAACAACAACAACACTGAGACTATTTGCACCGTGTAGGTTTCCCCCTCCGCTCCCCCCTGGGAAGGTGCTGAGAATGAACCGAAACGGTTACTGTGTGAACAATTACAACAATTCGCGCCGTGTCTGTAACCCCGCCCCCCTTTTCTCTACAACACCAAGGGCGGAGAGGACCCGGTCAGGTTCCGTCCCATCGAGGACGTATCGGCAGAGAGCGGCGAGTCAACGTCCTTCCCTCACCTCAAGGAACTCAAGAACGGCGACCTGGCGGCGTCTGCGATCAAGCAGGTCGCGTCGGGAAGGTTCGGGGTCACGCCGGAGTACCTCGTCTCCGCGGAGCAGGCAAGGGGGGGGTGGGGGGGGAGGGGGCGTACTCATGCTTTGCAGACTTTAGCGGTTAGACCATTGACCACGCGTCCTCTAGAGATGTTGCGACAGGACCGATCGCCGATGGCCAATCGTTTCGCCCTTCCTACTTCGCCGCTGGTGGCTCAGTTGTTTTGTTGTTTTCCTATCCTGCCTTAATCACTTCTCGCCTGTTTAGGGAAGGAGGGCGGGGGTGGTGTTAGTGCGTTGATGTAGGCTGGGTCTTGATCTGCGTGTAGCGCCGTGCGTTGTTCAGTTCACGGCAGTTTTGAGTTTTTCCGACAAGGGGGGGGGGGGGGGGGGTTGGGGGCCCCCCCAAGGGTGGGGAAAAAAAAAACATCTCATGGACCCCC